ATATATATATATATATATACTACACTGAAATCCTCGGCATTATTCGGCATTACTCGGCATTTACCTTTTATTTCCACTAGATTCATAGCGTCACGTTGTTTGGATGAAGACCGTCTTTCGGAGTGGTTAATTGCTGCTCATTTCGTTTTCGCCAGGCAGTTTGCGTTTCAGAACTTTGCAAGCAATACATTTTTCATCGCTTGTGACCGTTCTTTTCAAAAGGTTTTTTTTTTTTTTTTTTTTTGAGGAGAGAATCGCAGGTGGGAATAGGACCCGTTAACAGTGTGAGACAACAAAACCTTTTTTTTTTTTTTTTTCTATTCACGTATCCCAGTGTTTTCAAATGCCTTACCACTCTCATATGGGCTATGTGGATTATCTCTGCGATGTCCTGCTTTGGTTATCAGCAATCGTTGCAAAACTGCCAAAATATTCTTTTTTCTATTCTTGAACAAATCGTACCAGTTTACGAATAGTAATCTCATCTATGGTACAAGGTCTATAAACTGCCCGTGTGTATTATGTTTCTACTGTTGGTAAAGAGTTTCCGATATTTTTGTTTTTCTTTCAGGTAATAAGTTAGCATCACATGGCAAAAGTGTATCCATTTTCACGCTCAACGTAAAAACATTTAAAAGTTTTACGAATTTTACGTGCCGAAAAGTCACCTTGCACGATATGCACACGTGTTACAACATGTCTGTCATGTACGAAACGAAATCGCACAAGTCATCTTTTTAATCTCCAGGTGAATGACCCATTGCGCCTCCTCGGATGAACATTCTCAGCTGACATAAAATGGAAAGACTATATTGAATCTATTATTAGGTCTGCTGCTAAGAAAGTTGGTTCAGTAGAATCTAGCTTACATAACATTCACCCATGCTTTGAATATTGCTGCCAGGTCTGGTCGGGTGCTCTTGATATATATTTAAGGATTCTTCATGAAACCCCAAAAAGAATCAGCCATATTACTGGTCTTGACCTAGCGTCTCAAATTCAGTCACATTTCCACAGCCATAAATTTGTGCCTATTCTATAAATAATTTCATGGTAATTCTTTGCTAGAATTTATAAATTTAAGATTACTATATTATTAACAAGGTCTCACCAATTTACAATTGAATTGCCTAAATGTAACCGCAAGTTCTATGTTAACAGTTCCTTTTCTCACACTTCTCGCTTGTGGAATAGCCCCCTGGTGTTATGCTTTCTGACCAGCTTTGATTTAAAAAAAAATGCAATGTCAATGTCTATCTGCACACAGTTCTATTGTTTTATCCCCTTAATAATGTTACTGTTTACTAATTCTTTCACACTCAGTAACCCTTGTGCCTTAGTGGCTTTAATGTCTTGCATGATTTAAAAAGAAAACACCACCTGTTGCCAACAAATATGTTTATGTGTATATATGTGTGCCTGAACATAACCAATGACCGTTTTCAGGCAGGCCTTAGCAATAGAATTTATTGCAGTAAGTATTATCTGTGAAACTAAATAAACGTATTTACCAATTTTGCATTGATATGGCGTGAGGCCACGCGTGCAGGTCACCCTGTGTGGAACAAATTCACTATGTCTGTAGGAGTTTACAAGTCGGGCTTGCTAATCATAACTCGACATCGAGGCGCCGTTAGTAGATATTCAGCGGAGTTGACTCTTTTAGACACAAAAAAAAGGTGAGTCACCCGGTGAGGATCGAACTCGTCAGGGTAGATAGGCTCAATGGAACTTGCTTCCGAACCACACCACGACGAAGCACTGATGAAGAAAATCTATCAGCATTTGTCAATAATTATACACACAAGTTTTCTCACGCATATGCACTCATACAAAAGCATACAGACATACAAGTACTCACTCACACACAGATGCACATACACACACACACAAGTTAATTTATTTATATATGAAAATATACCTGCTCATGTTGGATATATATATATATATATATATATATATATATATATATATATATATATATATATATATATAAAAAAAATCCATGCTTATCCACAATATTCACGAGTTTGTTTTTTTTTTCATTCGTACCGCCTCCATAAATAAATATTTTTTCTCTGTTTCTGCAGATTGGCCAATCAGCAGACACGCCCAAAATTTCAAATGCCGTAACTTTTCTGATTCTTGAGCGTTTTGCTTTCCGATTGCTTCCTTTTTGAGCGAAATCTTTTTAATTGCAGATATTAACCACGGGTCTTAGATAGATAGATAGATAGATAGATAGATAGATAGATAGATAGATATGAACAGAATGAGATAGATAGATAGATAGATAGATAGATAGATAGATAGATAGATAGATAGATAGATAGATAGATAGATATGAACAGAATGAGATAGATGAACATGCCGGGATAGATAGATTTGAACAGACTTAGATAGATAGGTAGATAGATAGATAGATTTGCGCAATTAATGTTGCAAGACACTACATATACAAAAATAACAATAAGCGCTTCATAAAAGAAGAAGTTGCCTTCTTCAGTAATAGTTAATGTTTAAACCCTGGTAAAAATCATGAAGTCCGGTCATGATAGTGATTTTCTAAGCCCGGCTTCGATGTGGCACAAAGCCGAAAGTATGGGGTACCCAGTGAGGATCGAATTCACTACTCAGTCGTAATTGATCTAGCAAGACAAGCTTTCTAACCATTGCACCACGTCGAGGTGCCCATCCGGCCATGATAGTAGGAACATCGCCTATTGAAGTTTAGTGCAATAATCCAAACATAACAGAAATATTCTTCAGAGTCTGTTTATATTTCTGAGATGAGGTATTATGTATACTATTTACATTATTCGGACTATTGTCCTCATCTTTGTCGCCATATTTGTCACAACGTTTCGGCCGTTGTACGCTCCGGCCTTCTTCAGGTAGTTGGAATTTCAAACTGAACCCTTTATTTCGATCACTGGGGTAGACTGTTCTAGTTCCACGTGCCATGTTTGATGGATGTCAGTTATCTCCTGCTAATTTTCCCTCTGAAAGTTCACCACTGCCTTAACCAGGTATTGAACTCACCTTCTTTGGGTCTGTCACGCCTTTATCCCCTGTGCCATGTGTCCTTGTGATAAATATGGCAACAAAGATGAGGACAATAGTCCGACTAATGTAAATACAGAAATATTCTTATCTCTCTCCCTCTCTCCCCCTCTCTCTCTCTTTCCATATATATATATATATATATATATATATATATATATATATGTGTGTGTGTGTGTGTGTGTGTGTGTGTGTGCCCGTCTGTCTCTTTGTGCGTGTGATTGCGCGTGAAAATGATGAGACAAAGAGAGCTTTCGTTTTATAGCCACTCAAAACATGTGGAGGATAAATAGTGGCATAATTTAAGGTCTGCTAAGACAAAGTGAGTAATATTCAAGAATTTTTTAGTAAATAAATATTGTATAAATTGTGATAAGATTGTTATGATTTGGAATGGACGTATATACTGTACATCCAAAAACATGAGGTAATGGATGTAACCATTTGTAACTTTTGATTAATATATGTTGTGTATGTTGGTTTGGGAAAATTGTAATTCTTTCAGAGAAACGGAGATCTCTCTCTCTCTCTCTCTCTATATATATATATATATATATATATATATATATATATATATATATATATATATATATATATATATATTATGAAATGGACAAAGTCCGACAATTATTTTAAGACATTCTTTGTTTATACATTCTTTTTATAGATACAAATATTTAAGTAAATGTTATGTTTATAATAAACAGTATTAATAACATTTATCGGCCTGAATGTCCGAGAAATTCTCATAGAAAATATGCGTCCTCCGACAACAATCGAACCTGAACCGAAAATGCATCATCATTGCCAAATTTTTCATTGAACTAATGACAGAAAGTTAGTCATGCATAATAATCCTCTAACAACTGTTGATGTAATAGAATTTTGTTATGTGAAGTTTTGCCCGCGGAATCTTATGCACACTAGACTTTGGGAGCCTGAGCTCTAATGATGCACGTCTTACAGACTTTCTTGGACTTGCTGTAAAGGATTTCGTCGCTGATACATGGCCACCCACACCATAGCTTATCATGGACGGAGCCTGTCTCTTTAAATGTTTTTCATCCATTTAGCAATAGTGTTTCTATGAGGTGGTTCTTTATCGTATTCAATTATAAACTTTTTTTGTACAGCAAGAGTAGATTTCAGTTCAGCCAACCAAAGGACACAGTTTACTTTTTTTCTCAGTTGAAGCCATGGATCAAATTGATTCTGGAGAAAAGAAAAGAATATATTTTTTATCTAAAAATTGTTGCAAATTTTGTGGTAAATAATTATTCAGTAACATTACTTAAAACGAGGTGCATTAAAACTTTATAACATTTTTTACAAATTATTTCCATCGCAAATACAAATAAAGTTAAAAATTTTTAAAGTGCACACGAACTTTATATGGACATATATATATATATATATATATATATATATATATATATATATATATATATATATATATATGTATGTGTTTTTTTTCTAATATTTATTTTGTTATCTGTATCTCTTTTAATCCAGTACTACCCTCTGAGTCCTTCTGATAACGAGGATGGCGACGAGGCTCATCAGCATTAATCACAAAACCTGTCAAATGCTGGCTGGTTCTTCTTGGCTGGCACTATGGGGTTTATTTGGGTTTCATAGCTATGTATGCAGCCAATGCGGTGATAACACGGCATCGTTGAGCGTAGGGTGCCCTGGAAACGGCCAGGTTAATCAAACGGCTTGCTTTGGAGTGTTCGGCCCGACCGAATCAACGACCGCTTGTCAGTGACCAAGGCGAGCTTTCAGGTCGGAGGACATCGGCTGCGGTTTGACCTGGGCAGAGGAATGGGTTCCACCAACTCTACTTGCCCAAGAGACGCCAATATCTCTTCGGCTTTCAACCTAGATATGTGGAGGCAAATGGTCAGGTTGTCAGCTGCGCAACGTCTCCGCCACCACACCCGGCCATAGGCATGATGATGATGATGATGATGATGATGATGATGATGAATTTTTTGTAGGTTCTGGAGTAATATCGAGACGACAATTACCAGCAAGCATTACTTTCGGAGCTTGTTGTCCTGTAGCTCTCCAGTCGTTTTATTTCTATCATCACTAAATAAATTCGCTTCTCAAATACACTGCCTCTCACTTTTCCCACTGCTGTTATTCTCTCTGCCTCTTTCCCTTTCCCTTTCTCTCTCTCTCTCTCTCTCTCTCCCCTACAACTTCTTGCTTAGAACTGTTTTGCAGAACAGACTCCGGAGAGGATGCTTCCCTTGCAGGTATAATTTAATTCCGGGGTCAATCGACATCCATCCTACACGTCTTCATAATATGCATTTCTTACTTTCTCCTTCTCCCTCCCTTACACAACCTCACTCAGTAAATCTCAACTTTGAGTGGCCCTTGGGCCTTCTATTGGGTGAACTAACAAAAACGAAACTATTGGTTTGGTGCGTAATTATCAGGCGTTTTTTAAGAAACATAACAATTCAATAATAATATTTTTGAATGATTATTCTGGAGCGTATGATTATCGATACGCATTTTATAACCTGAAAATAAAATATCTTTATTTTAAAAAAATTATATAAAACAGCAATTTTTATTAACAATAACTCGCTTAGAAAAACGCCTGATAATTATGCACCTACCTGTAGTAAAACAAATATTAGTAAAGGCAAGAATGAAATATCAGCGGTGATAAAACAGAAAGAAAGAAAGAAAGAAAGAAAGCATAATTATCAGGCGTTTTTCAAACAATATTATTATGAGAAAAGAAACAACAATTTAAAAATAACATTTTTTATTAATTATTCTGGAGCCTATCATTATCGACGTACGATTATATCCTGAAAATAAAATAATATTTTTATTAAAAAAAGTAAACAAAACCACAATTTTTATTAACAAATAACGCCTACAAAAAACGCCCGATAATTATGCACCAACACACTAGTTAAAAAAAACAACAAAAAACTTTCTATTTCATTTCATTAGGCTAGGGTTTAGAGTATTCGCGTTCAAACAATGAGATCCAGGTTCGAATCCTACCATGGTCGATTTGTTTAAGAACGTGTCTTTTTGATAATATCGGTCTGCGGAAAGACGATCCCAACGTGTGGCAAAAATGTGAAGTGCCAGAAAAACCGTACCCTCGATGGTTAAACGAGCACCAGGTCAGAAATATGCAGATAATAGGCACATAGAAGTTCTTTAGCTTTGAGATTCTGCTTCGGTGAAAACATCCATCGTCCTGTACCCTGGCCACTTGAGGTGATGTATGGAGCTACAAAAAATATCTCACAATAGTTCAAATTCTTTAATAAAAATGGAAGTCACGTGAATTCGATAACCACGAATCTCCCTTGCTTTTATTCCCTTTCTCCATTCATTCCACCTGCTAGGACCTTATTTTTTTCATTGAACGTCTCTCAAAGTGCCATTTATTTTATTCGCAGACATCTCCTCCCTCTGCCGACTCTCTCTCTCTCTCTCTCTCTCTCTCTCTCTCTCTCTCTTCGTTCACCCTTTCCTCATCTTTCCCTTTCATTCACTTCCACTCTTTTTTTTTCTCTCTTCTATCTCTCTGTCTCTCTCTATATATATTTCTTTCTTTATTTCGCTGTCTAGGGACTAATTTTTCAGTTGATTTTTTTTCTCTCTCTTTGTTCACACATTCCCTCTCACTCTCACACACACTCTCTTTCTGTAACTCTCTTTCATTATTCATTTATCTATTCCTCGTCTTTCCTTTCATTTACATCAGCGCTTCTTTCCTCCCTTCTCCCTCTCTCTTCCCATCTCTCTCCCTCTCCATCTCTTTATGTTTCTCTCCTTATTTCGCTATATACGTACCATTTTTTCAGTTGATTTTTTTCTATCTTCTTCTTCATATTCCCACTCTCTCTTTTTGTATCTCTCTTTTTTTATTCATTTTTCATTTCATTTTCTCGCCTTTTCTTTCATTTACATATTGTCTTCTCTCTCTTTCTCTCTTTCTTTGTCTCTTTTTTCAATTGATTTTGGTATCTCTGTGTTCACACATACCCTCTCTCCCTCTCTTTCTCTCTCTCTCTTTTTCTTTCAACGTCTTTCTTTTCATTTACACCTCCATTACGACCTCTTTCTTTTTCTGTTTATTCCAACTTCAAGCGCCTAAATTTTCAGCTCAAATTCTTCCTTTCTTAATCTATCATTCTTTTGTTTCCATATTCTCGTTCTCCGAACAAACTCTTTTTTTTCTTTTCTTTCATTTTCCTTTCATTCGGTTTCCCCCTCCTCCTCCTCCTCCTCCTCCTCCTCCTCCTCCTACTTCTTCTTCTTCTTCTTCTTCTTCTTCTTCTTTCTCTCTTCTCTCATTCTTTCTTTCTTTCTTTCTTTCTTTCTTTCTTTCTTTCTTTCTTTCTTTCTTTCTTTCTTTCTTTCTCTGTCTCTTTCTCGTAAGGCATTTCTCTCCACCCTTTGATGTTGTACGAACTACACAACCTGAAAAATCATAGCTTTTCGAAATTACGGCGTTAATGATTAAAGACCCAAGAAAAAAATCACCTCCTCAATGGCTGTTATTACGGAATTAATTTCACGTTTCTCGCTTTGACTTGTGGATTTCGATAGAAGTTCAACACGCAATTCCCTATCACCAAAACTCTACCTACTTCCTGTCATCTGCAATCCACCCTCCACCCCCGTCTCTCTTGTTTAATATGCGTTCTACCTCGGGTGCTTTCACGACAATCTTACATTTTTTTTTTTGTTACAAAAATAGTTCGTCTATTTTTTTATTTTTTTTGGTTTTGTTTTTCAAAGAACTGTAACAGTTTCATCGTGATTTATTTATATATTTTTTCATTTTGTTTCTTTGTTTTTTTCTATTTTTTTGTCAATGATTCATTTATCAAGTATGGAGTATATCCTTTTGTGATTTGATTGGCTGTCGTTTTGTTTGCTTCTACTTTTGAACGCCCACCACAAGGATATAACATTTACTATACAATCTATAAGACTATCTTCAAATATAGTATGCATATATATATGTGTGTATATATATATATATATATAATCTGTATATATACGCAATATATATATATATATATATATATATATATATATATATATATATATATATATATATATATATATATATATATATATATATATATAATACTGGGTGATGCAAAAGTAGGTATACAGTAATGAAAACTCAAAACCTGTGTATTATATTGATCATACAAACAAATGAATAATAACACATCAATAATAAGCATATCAACCCCTCCTCATATGTTCAAAATGTTTGATTAACACACTACTGTTTACTTGCAAAATAATAATTATTATAATAATTATTATTATTATTATTATTATTATTATTATTATTTATTAAAAAATAAAAATTATGATAACTGTACTAGAATAGAAATTTTGAAAATAAAAATTTTAAAAATTATTATAATGAATTAAATTAATTCTAGCATTATATGAATCCAAGAAACGCTATTATATTAGCAATAATGCTATAATACTTACTGTATACCTATTTTGCAGCACCCTGTATGCATATATATATATATATATATATATATATATATATATATATATATATATATATATATATATATTGTCATCCACAGACAGACTGTTTCGCTGTATCACTGCTCATCAGTGTGGCTAGACGTCCGGTTGCCTCTAGCTAGGATCGAAACTCAACTGAATTAGTGTCAGTCGGGGATTCTACACTAATGCTGTTGCCTCACGACAGGGATGAAGATGAATTTAAGCGTATTTATTTTTAGATAAACACACAGTGACTGTGAGAACTTGATTTAATTTACCGAATAGTCTTGCATTATTAGCCGTAATAGTCACTATTTACAAAGCCACACTTCCTCCCCAGAGAGCTCAACCGAAATAATTTTTTCCAGGAGCATATATATTGTCATCCACAGACAGATTCTTTCACTGTATCAGAGCTCATCAGTGTGGCTAGACGTCCGTTTGCCTCTAGCTAGGATCGAAACCGGACTGAATTATTTTCTCCTGAAACTAAAGCCTTTATACGAAGCTTAGAACGGCTCATGATCAATCATAATACACATTCGTTGTCTGTTATATTTAACAATATGTGTTTGAATATATATATATATATATATATATATATATATATATATATATATAATGCCTATAGTATCATATAGTGTAGTTGGTGTCTTTCTATTTTTAAAAGTAGTATTAATCTCACTTTATTTAACAACGGAAATAAGATCTTTTAAATAGAAGGACCCCAATTCGGAATTGTAGCCACGTTCCTTTCACGTGGCTTGGAATAAAAACGCTACGACACTAGGCATTGCACAATTACATCTTAAAAGACAACTATGAAAAGAATTTAACAGAAAAGACTTGAAAATTGCTAAAGAAATAGTGGACAAATTTCCGCCCCCACCCCTCCACCAAACGGAATATATTAAAACTTACTAGAAAGATATTGCTAAATTTTCATCGTCAGTCACATTCAGCGACAATATGTCAATGAAAAATTTCTGCCCGCATATATATATATATATATATATATATATATATATATATATATATATATATCCAGTATAATTATTTATGAATTTGGATTGATCAGGAACCCAGTTCTTTAAGGAACCTGTGTAGTCATAAATCATATTGGTTCTCTGTAATTTGGAACTTGCAGATATTGTTGACAAAACAATGAGGTTAACACTTTTCAAATCGTCACACAGATTACCAATTGATAGAAATAATTAGGAGGATTTGAGATAATCATTATTAATTAATTCTTCGAATCTAGAAGAAGCCTCAACAGTATGCAGAAAGCACTGGGCTCTCTCTCTCTCTCTCTCTCTCTCTCTCTCTCTCTCCGTTTCTCTCTCTCTCTCTCTCTCTCTCTCTCTCTCTCTCTCTCCATTTTTCCTCAATTCAGTAAACTATCACTTCCTTCTCTACCGTTCCCAGATGTGTACTCGATAACATTTCTGGTAATATAGACAAAGCCATCTCTCTATATCCGTTTGCAAACATATTCGTATTCGGTGAGATTAATGCCCCACCATACCATTTGGCTTAAACACTTTGTGACTGGGGTCGCTGGCATCCAAATCCTTAACTTTTCAATCACTCAATCCCTCACAGAAGTGGTCGACTTTCCTACACGTTTCCCCAGTAACCCGGAGAGTAACGCTTCCCTTCTCGATTTCTGTTTCACCTCCATCTCTGATTCTTTTCATGCTACGCAACTCTGCCCTCTTGGCAACTCTGATCACGCAGTGGTGTTTGTTAACATCTCCTTCCACTTCCCTTCCAACCATGAACTTCCTACTAACGGAATATCTTTCTGTTATCCAAGGTTGGGATCTGCTCCGTGATTTCCTTCGCGACGTTTCTTGGAATGTGGGTTTTAATCACCCCATACAAAAATGTGCGTCTGAGGTCTCCTGGCTAAAATCCGACATCGTGACTTTCATCCCAACAAGAAAATACGAAGTTAAATTGCGCTCATCTCCTTAATTGCTTGGCCGCTATAGCCCATAGGAATAACTACTTTACCGGAACATGTCTAATTGCAACAGACATCTCTTTGTCTCTGCTCGTAATGACTGCAAGCGTGCCCTCATCGAAGTAAAGTTACTGTTTCCTAATAGAATGAAACAACGTATTGCATCTCACAAGTTTGGTTCTAAAGATTATTGGCGGCTCTGCAAAAATGTACTACAGTGTAAACTACAGCAAATCCTCAACCCCTCCTCTATTCAATCAATTTGAAGTCCTAAAATCCTCAGCTGATAAGTCCCAATGCTTTGCTTGGAAATTCTCATCCAACTCAACACAACTCAGTCTGGGTACCCACACTTGATTTTCACTAGAGCTGAAGCTATACTGGGTATGCGCATAACCCAATCGATGGTATTAGATATCTCTACATTAGACTCTCATAAAGCAAGTGGTGTTGACGGAATACCAGCCGTAGTCCTAAAGAAATGTGTCCCTAAGCTGGTTCTAATTATCTCCAAACTATACAGCTATTGCCTCCCTGATTCTTGCTTTTCATCCTGTTGAAAGTTTTCCTCTTAAAGAACTCTGGGGACCCTTCTGACACATCTAACTAAAGTCCATCAGTCTCCTATCATTGTTTGTCAAAGTCTTCGTGGTTTTAATCAATGCTGAAGCAGTTAAGCATCTCACCTCCCATGATTTGCTCGCTGACAAACAATATGGTTTCCGCTTTTCCCGATCTACTGCTAATGTGCTTACGTTCATCATTGAATATGTATATCAAGCCCTTAATAATAACGGCGAAACTCGAGCTGTTACTCAAGTTGTATCGAAGGCGTTTGACAGGGTTTGGCATGCTGGCCTTCTACGTAAGCTTTAGGGATACGATATTACAGGACGATTATTTGATTTAATTCACTCATTGCTGTGTAACCGTAAAATGAAAGTTTCAGTTCCATACGAACGCTGGTCTTCTTCAAGGCTCTATCCTGTGCCCTACACTGTTTCTGATTTTCATCCATGTTCTTCCAGACGTCATCATTTCTCAAGTATGCATCTATGCAGACGACACCACCATTTACTCCTGTCTCAACAGCAAGTCAGGCATTGCTGACAAAGTGAACCTGGCTGTTGGTCTCGAAAACGACTCCCAATCTGTGACTGAAGTAGGAAATAGCTTGCGAAGTTTTTGCATCCTAAACAAAACTGTTCTCATTTACTCACCACTGGGAGACTTCCCTGCCTCCTAACAGCATCGTTGATGCTCAACTCCATGAGAGCGCCATCTTGCTCTCACCTATTCCACTGACCTGAGATGGAACAACTACATTGAATCAATAGCTGCATCTACCACAAGGAAAGTTGGTTCTCTGTGTCGCGCTTCAGAAGGTTTTTCTCGTCTAAGTTCATTCTTCAAATCTATAAATCTACCATTCGTCCATGCATGGAATCCTGTTACCATATCTCGTCTCGTTCCTCCGAGCGTTTCTACAAATCCAAAGACAGATATGCAATGTGATCGGTACAAACTTGGGGTTGCAACTCTAGTCACTTTCGCACCGACGTAATATGGCTTTACACTATATTTTCTATAAATATTTTCATGTCATCTGCACTGACGGACTATTTTCAATGGTGCCCCGACTGCATGAATTTAAGTGTGATACTAGGTTGTACTGTGAAAACAGATAAATGTAACCGACTCTTGCACTCCTACTGCTTCTTCTCGACATTGGAACTCCCTTCCTCTTACTTGCTTCTCTGATAATTGTAATCTTCAAAAAAATCTTTGCGACGCGTTTCGTCTTTCGACTTTTTCAAGGCAAAAATGAAATCGAAATGTCTTTGTTGTTATTGTTACATTAAAAAATCCAAATTTAATAGGGTAAACCCTTCTGTCTAAGGCTTTTTCTGGTTAATGTAAATTTCCTTTATACTAAGAGATTTTTTCATGTCTATTATATGTTTAAATCCAATCTAAGCTTTCGGCTTACATAAGCCATTATCATTATGTGTGATGTCACGAGCTGCGACGCGATTTTTGCTTCCGCGTTTTGTATACACGGGTTTGTCGTTGCTTTGAAATTTTTAATGCAGCAAGGGCGGACTATCATTGTTGTTTCGTCCGCGTGTTGTTTGATATATTGAAATTGTCATCTTTGATAATGGCTTATGTAAGCCGAAAGCTTAGATTGGATTTAAACATCTATCAATATGATGTTTTCCTTTCGTCTTTCAATGATAATGTGTTTAAGCTTATCAGAAAATATGAAAGGAACTTACTTAAAATAAATGGACAAAACTTTTTCTATATTATTTAATGAAACCTGCCTTAATGAAATATTTCTGCCTAAATATACACAATATATATATGTGTGTGTGTGTGTGTGTGTGTGTGTGTGTGTGTGTGTGTGTGTGTGTGTGTGTGTGTGAAAAGTGTATGTAAATATAAATAAATATATATATGTATAATTATTTATATATATTATATACGCAGTACTTATTAAAAATGCGTTCAATATCAGAGATAGAGCTAACATATTTGGTTGGATAGATGTGAGTTTTGTGACCCTGGGTTTCACGCTTTTAGCGATCGTCAAAACAAACTCGCTAAAGCGTGAAACCCAGGGTCACAAACTCACATCTATCCAACCAAATATATATATATATATATATATATATATATATATATATATATATATATATATATATATATATATATATATATATATATATATATATATATATATATATATACGATAATAATGTTACATATATATATATATATTATTGATTTCATATAAAAGCTGCAAAAGGTTCGTAAGTCGTAATAACTAACAACGATAAAAATAGACAATCAACATTGGTCTTTTATAAAAAAAAAAATACCGCTTTGAAAATATTAAAAAAAAAATTAATCAATTTAAATGTTCTGAAAGCACTTAAAGTCTAAATCATCTTATTACTACTTCTTTTTTCTAATCAATTAAATTTTTAATTTGTGGGTGGGAATGCATGTACAGAAAACATGTTCAACTTGACGATAACATGTTACTTCAAAAATATTCCAAATTTTAATTACATTCTTAAAATAGGTATCGATTTCCAGATTTATAATTTTAGACGTAGCGAGATGATTCGATGACTTCCCCCTCTTCCGGGGATGGCGTTTTATATGCAGCGTGCGATGGATAAATTGTCGTCTAAATTAGGCAAAAATAAAAAATAACACTGACATTTCAATTTAGCAGAGATATTTACCGAAATTACATAAACATATCTTGAAATTCAAAAGAGTAAATTTATTCAATAAAATCTCCAGACGACTTCGATATCTCCTGCAACTCTTCTGGGCGGTTTTCTTGTTTAAGTTGATGGTGTTAAAAAGAGTTTGTTGATCTCTTGCTCAACTGCGGCCCACACATAATAATCTAGGGAATTATTTAAGGAATGATGTAGCCGCAGAAATTGTCTAACAGCCATGATTGGCTTCTCCTGCTTGAGTGGCAGGGTGCAGATTCCTATTGCCAGACATAAGGTCTTCCAGCAGCCACCCTTTTTAACCCAGGTCAGTACAACTCCCTCAAGAAACTTGTTGTAGGCTTCCGTGTTGAGTCTGAGGTCCTCATCAACAAATTCGCGTGTTCTTTTCTCATCAGAAAGATCAGAGTAAGTTTTCCCAGCTGCCATACCTTCGTAATCACCATTAGATTCATCTAACTCTTTCTGAATCCTCTGCACCGTCCTCGGATTTACACCCAGACACTCTGAAATGTTCGTTTTAGAGCTTTCGGCGCAAATGCCAAGCAATAGAGCATGCCTTTTCCAAATTTCTGGCGGAGTGAATTGTGTCATGGTGCTTCTGTTCCTTACTGATGATGCCCAACTGACTCTACTATGCTGTTCAGTCGACAAAATTAAAAACATGCAACGTGCATGCGCAAAATTAAAATTATAAAATGGCGAAAATTTACATTACAGTGTGGCTAGACGTCTAGTTGCCTCTAGCTAGGACGGAAACCCGCCTGAATTGGCGTCAGTCGGTGATTCTACCCTTAAGCCGTTGGTGCACGGCAGGTATGAAGGTGAATTTAAGCGTATTTATTTTTAGATAAACACACCAGTGACTGAGAGAAGTCGATTCGCTTTACCGAAGAGTTTTACATTATTTGCAGTAATAGTCACTGTTTACAAACTAACACTTCCTCTCAAGAGATCTCAACCGAAATAACATTTACAGTAGCATATATATATATATATATATGAAGGTAAATGGTCAGATTTGAATCAGACAAGGGAAGAGAAACATTAAAAAGTGCTCAATAAAAGTGAGAAAATTTAGTACAAAAAATAACATGTAGAGCTTTTAAGTTTAAAGATCAGATGGATTTTCATATATATATATATATATATATATATATACTATTTACATTA